AATTAGTTTAGCAACTTCTTTTAGCAATATCTTAAGTGCAACTGTAAAAAACAACATTGTTTCTTTTACTATCTAACTATGCTGCTGAAAATACTAAGATGATTCAATAATTTGAATATTATCTAACCTATGAAAAGAAATTATTCAATTATTTTTGATACAATCATCTATGTACATATCTGATAATATGCTGAAAAAATCTGAAAAATTCAAAAAATAACAGTCTAAACCTGCCTTGAGTAGGTTAATTCAAAATGTCAGAAAGGCAACTTGCATATTTAACTACATGAAACCTAACCTACCCTTAATATAAGATGACTCTAACCTTAAAGTTAATTCAATAAGAATCTACTCCGCTTTAGACATTCTCCAAAATTAGATCAAAACTGTATCACAAAATACAAGAAGTGCTTTAATCACATTAAATTAATAAGACTCCGGCTTTATGAAACATCACTATTTTGCTAGTTTAATATAGTTATTATATATATGTTATATATTTATCGAAAAAACTTTTATAACAATATATAAAACCCATAATATATACTAGACATATTAGATTTTATTAACTATATACTAATAAATTGTAATATTCATTTTTTAAGTACTCAAAATATACAAAAAAGTAAACTGATTATAATCTAATACTAATTATTTTTGTATTTTGCAGGTAAACCTCTCCTTGCAGGCTCAAGATCTTAAATAAGTAGGAGCAAGCATAAATATTGAGTTTGAATAATAAATTTTTAACATAACAATTACACTTACCAGGACAGCTTCGCTGTGAATTGTTCATTTTTGAAGACTGCTTTAAAGATTTAGAAAGCTTCCTATCCTGCATGGCATGATTTTTTGGCTATGCCAGTTCTACTGATACCCTAGCTTTTTTATTTTTAACATTCATACTTATACCTGTATCAATATCGGAATCACTAAATAGAGTGCCAAATTTTCTATTTTGCTTGATTGATGTTGCATGTATAAAGAAAACGATACTATGGCGAATACCAGATATAACCGGAAGATTACCATAGACCAAAATATTTGATCTAAAAGCTATAGCTTGTCCCTGCTTTGCATGAATTATTAGCTTTAACTCAGGAAATACCAATTGCCCACCTTTGAATGATCCAAGTGGGCACACTACACAAAGTGTATTTCAGTGATCTTTTAAATCACGATGGAATTGACTAATAACATTGAAGTTGATCGCAATTGTTGGAAAAGCACTGAAAGACTTAGAAACATTTGGACCAAGTTTGAGCTTTGCCATTTTTGTATACAGAGCTGAATAAGTTTCCTGAAAATAACTATTAACTGCATTAGATAGTAATTGAAGTCTACTAATCAGCTCTTGAACACATTTCTAATGTTCTGAGCAATGGTTTGATGCTGTATTTGTAGTCGTATAGGGCTTATTGTTATTGCCTGTAAAGGCTCCAAAATGCTCTACCAACTTCTTCTTAAATTCTTTAGATTGATGCAATTTATTATCTTTATTAAGGTTATGGTTATAATATTTATCTACAACCACTATAGCATATTCTTTAACTGTAGATTTAACTAGATCAAAAAAGTCTACTACTATCTCATCGAAAGAATTCCTAAAACACTGTGGATTAAAAACATGGTAGTAGCCCTCAAATTTCTTATCTGTAGCTGCATCTTTTGTAGTTTTTTCTACTACATCGAGTTTATACTTTAAGGTTCACCCAAATGTTTTTGAGATATTATACTCTTTCTGCATTTTTTCCTGAGCTTCTCGATGTGCATGCTTTACTTTTGACCAAAGATGACAACAGTGATGATGAAAGCATTTATTAAAATTCGGAATCTTCAGAAAACATGCCCATAATCCGAACTCTCTCCAAACCATAGATGATGAATTTAAAGAACTGTTATTACTAAAGATTTCAGACGCTAGTAAAGCCTTGTAGTGTGTTGGTATTTCAAAGTTATTAGTAAGTATTAGTTGAATTGTTTGAAGGGATAAAGAGTTAGCTATATTGTTATTTGGACCTATTGCATCCATTACTAATAAATCATTTCGTAATAGTTGCTGTTCTTTTTTTTCTAAGAACTTTTTGATAAAGGTAAATTCTGGATTAGACAATGTATAAAGTTGTGAAACTTTGGTTGATTTAAGATCTTCAGGAAGGAAGTTTTCCGATATCCATCGAGTTTGAATATATTCATGAGTTTCACTTTTTGTCGAACAACAGGTCTCTGATTAGGTCTTATGCTAAAGAATATATATTTAAAAGATTACTAAATTGGTATATGATGTGTAATGTCTTGCTATGAAGTTGGATTATAATAAAATTTTGAGGTGGATATATTTGATTCAGTTTTTGTCTCATAGCTCAGCGTTAAATGGGAAGCTTATTCAGTCTTCCTCTTCTTGCTAATAAGACAATTGTGATTCAATGATCACGCCTTCTATAATAATAGGAAGGGAACAGTCAGATCCTAGACCTGTCTCAAAAGGCAATAACGCCTCTAAAGAAGACTATACTATAAAACTAAAAGTGATAAAAGACAGTTACATACCTTTAGAGGATTATAAAATATGTTCATTTTTTCTTTGATCTGGTTAGCATTAGTACTGGATATAGAATTACTCTCTTTAACGATTAAACTATCAGGCTTTCCAATTTTGACTTTTTTTATAACACGATATTCTTTCCTACGCAAATTTCTCTTGGAGGCTTTCGATAAAATAATGGAAACATTTTGCAACGACATAGTGATTATATAGTAGGTAAATAATTTTTATTTGTATAAAGAAATTTTTTTCAATGTTTTAAGGAAAAAAGTAAAAGATTGGGAATTATTTTATTGGTTTAGCATATAACAATTTAACATGAAGCAATATGATTCAGCATTATATTAAACATGACCTAATAATTATAACGATTGCATGTTTGCTAATTCGGCACCATAATTATTCAACACAAATTAACTAACGATCGCATTTATTTGGTGATACAATTTTATGTTTACCAAATTCAGCACCATAATTATAAATTAATAACAATTACTTATCACTTTATTACTTGCTATAATAATTGCTAATAGACAATTGACTAGATAGATGCATGACATCATTGCACAAAACCAAAAATGGAAATTGTGAACAAAAATAAAGTCATACGAATTTAATTCAGATTTTCAAGGATTAGGACCTTTAGTTATAACTCTAATTACTTCACCCTTAGGCAGTGAGACATCATCAAGTAGTACATACTAATACCATTTGTGGCACTTACACTACCGATCTTATTCAGTAGTACTCATCCTGTTCAGTAGTTGCAATCTTAATTTCACAAGGATCCAGTTTAGATTACAAACAAACATAAAATACAAGCAAGGCAAAGGAAAATTTTTTAATTAAATTCTGAAAAAAATTACTAAAATAGATCAAATTATATCACATCTATCATATAATTAACTGGCCAAATTGCATAATTCTGGACGCTCTACTCATCCTACTTCAAGGTCTGGTTCAATTCATACTGATACTTCTAGTAGCAATGTTACCAAACTATGTGATGAATAATATCACATAAGGTATTCATCTTACTGTTATCGCTAAAATGATGTGATGCTATTCATCACATAGTTTGGAATGTCCCAAATAGGTTGGATAACATCGTTAACATCCAGTTATAGCATCAGATCATCAAATCAAATGATATTTTTACAACCAACAAAGCCGCATGAAGCAGCCACCCATGAAGCTTAAGGGCGTTTTAAACTGCCCACTTCATAAACCAATTGGATCAAAGATTTTGCGTACACATGCGCATTGAAATGCCGCATAACCATACACTACGTGTTATGCTATACAATAAAACTTAGTTCCTGGTATTCTATATGTATCTTACTGTTATCCAATAATATTCCAGATTCTGTATAACCATACACTTCATAATTTCATTACTCCGTTCCTGGTATTACATATTTACTAAATTTGGCATCACAATTATTGAACACGATATTTTGTCATTTTGGTTATACAGGGTACTTTACAAATTTAGAATAGCCATTATGCACTTCGTTATTTATGTAATATGTTGATCCAGAGTTTTTTTACCAGTGTAGTTTCTAAGAATAATAACCCTGATGTGGACATAAAAAATTCGAACATCAAACAGGGCTTAAAAGACTATATTGATGCCAGCCATTCAAAAATATCATTCTTGATATATAGTATAATTGGCTGGTATAGTAAACAATAAGATGAATCAAGAAGAACACATCAAACAATAGGCTGCAGGCTGGCAAATTACTATAGGATTTTAAGCCCTGACACCAAATATGTAGCGATGTTACCCAAACTATTTGGGACGTCCTAAACTATGTGATGAATAATATCGCATGAAGTATTTACCTCCTTATTGTTATTGCTGAAATCGTGTGATGCTAATCATCACATAGTTTGGGACGTCCCAAATAGTTTGGGTAACATCGCTACAAATATGATGTGTCATACTTAATGCATAATCTGCTATGTAATTTGACTTCGCATAATTCACATATCGATATAGTAATCCAGTGCTGTAGTAACAGGTCGCCATTTTTAGTACTACTATATATGGCAATGTATTATGATTTCGGAAGCTGAGACCCGAGAGACCAGTTTGCTTCTAAATGTGTTAGATTTTAGAACTCCAACCAAATAAAAAATCATGTGAGCTCAAAACCCATAATGATAGAATATATGAAAAATTTTTCTATTACGTATGACTACACTGACGATATATCTGAGGCAAATTTTTATTTTTTATTAACAATTATACTATTACAAAAAGATGCAAACAAATAAATTGGCAAATGCATAGTCACTAATTCTCTCCACCCAGACTAGCATGGCTAACACCATTGGCATTAGTATTATTAACACCATTAGTGTTATTGACACCATTAGCATTATTAACACTGTTAGCATCATTAACACCATTACATTATTAACTGGGGACTGTTCCCAACTTCTTTGTCTATTAAAAGATACTTGTCGATTTAACATAGTGGTAACCTCTTCATATAAAGGGGGTGGTGTACGGTTCCTACATCTTTCTCGCCCTCTTTGTATTGATAAGTTTGTGTTCCTGACCTGATCGAATAGAGTAACTAAGAAAACCAGCACATCATCAGATGGAGAACCAAATAACAAAAGATGTAATTGATTATGATGCATAAAATGCATAGGCCAACTTACCCGGTCTTTTCCAAAAGCAGGTACTTCTTTTCCCCTTACTATTTCCAACCATAAAGTCGCACACCAGCTAATAAAAAATATCCATGTGATCCTTAGTTTTTACACACCAATGATATACAATTAATGCATAGATAAAGTTCGATGTACTTATATAGAAATCTCTTACAAGATTCATGAACTTATCTTTGCACTAGTACTTATTGAAATTTGTATTATATTGTTGGTTAATTTTCTTCACAATACTCTCCCAAAATCTGATGCAGTTACAAGAAATGATATTGTGGTATTCAGTATTTCTGCCTTTTCTCTCATCAATTAATATGTGGATTTGTGCATCAGTCCATTCAACCATTTTTGATATATAGAAGTATAATGAAACAGAAAAATTTAAAGGAGTATCCAAACTTTATATAAAACTTTCAAGTGAGCATGTAAGACATAACAAACGCTGACATTA